CTTCAAGAACCTGCTGGCCACGCCGGGCATCGACTTTGGCTTCTATTGCATCAACCACTTGCTGGTGCCCATGATCCAGGACTGGCTGCGGTACATCAACAAGACGGGCGCCACCTGGCAGCTCATCGAGAAGAACTTCAAGCACTGCTGCTGCATGACCACCGATCTGGTGGTGGAGTTCATTGAGAAGTCGGTGCCCGAGCAGCGTCGCCTGGGCGCTGGCACCAAAACCCGCCTCGCCCAGATTGTCCATCCCGCCGATAATCTCATCTACTCGAAGCTCAAGTTCGTCACGGAGCGAATCGAGCAGCAGGATCTACCCAATCTGAATCTGAATCCCACGACACAAACGGCAACAGACAGCAGATACGACAGCAGCTCCAGTTCGGCCAGCGAAGAGCAGCAACAGGGAGGCGTCTCGGGTGTGGCCCCTCCCCCGGCTGGGGGCAGCAGCAGCCTCATCGAGTCACCCACCAAGATCTCCAGCTCGGCCACGCTGGCCCTCAAGCAGCTGCTGCTGGTCCTCATCGAATGCGCTGCGCAGTCGCAGGAGGCGATTGCACGCATCTCGGTGTCCTGTCTGAAGCACGTCATCCTGTCGACGGGCATGCTGTTCAACGAGTCGCAGTGGATGATCGCCTGCTCGGCCATTCATCGGGCCTGCACCGTGACCATTGCCCCGCTGCGGCAGCTCTCGTTCGCCTTCCACGAGAAGTCGAACAGCTTCTACGGCGACTGTGCCAACGTGAAGGTAGCAGCGCGTCGTGACAGCAGCCTCGAGGAGCTGGCACGCATCTACTCTCTGGCCCAGCAGGTTTTCCTCTCGGACAATCAGCGGGAGCCCGGCCAGGGCCAGGGACCCAGTGGCGGCCCCAGTGGCGGTGCGAGCAGCGGCCAGTGCAAGCTGTCGGACGATCGGAGCTACTCCTTCCTGCTGTACCCGCTCAACAATGGCTTCAACTCGAATCTGGACAACTTTGTCATACGGATTCCGTTCAAGAACCTGGTGGTGGGGCTGCTGGCCAACCAGATGCTGCTGCAGCTGGTGGCCAAGCTGCTGCTGTCGCGCCTCAAGTGCGTGCCCCAAGCAGTGTCCACGTGCATCTTTGACAACTATGCGGGCGCGGCGGCGACGCCCAGTCACGACTATGACCTGGACTTTCGCTCGAAGGAGATTCTGCTGCGCTGCGTCAAGCAGTACCTGATGTCCGCCCTGGAGTTCGACTCGCGGCCGGGCCTCAAGTTCCTCATGCAGAAGGTGTCCAACATCGAGTACGCGGCCAATCTGTACAAGCAAATGACCTCCTCCTGGATGATCTACTACATAGCCCTCGTCGACTCGCACCTCAACGACATTGTGGTGTACAACCTGGGCCCAGAGGATCTCAACTTCATCCTCGAGTCGTGCTCGCGCCTGAACACCACCACCGTGAAGAAGAAGGAGAACTTTGTGCGGTATCTGTTCTGCCTGCAGGACGCCTGGAATCTCGTCTGCGAGCTCTACCTCAGCAACTCGGCCCTGCACGATCTCGAGACGGGCTCCAGCAGCAGCAGCAGCAGCAGCAGCAAGCGGGCAGTGCCAGAGGCCCAGTCTGCAGCGGCAGCCAAGAAGCCACCAATGGCTGCACCGCCGCACCATCCGCACCCACATGCCCACACCCATCCTGGCCACGTGCACCCGCATCAAATGGTGGGCAAACCCATGTGCATCTCGCTGAATGGGAATGGCAATGGGTCGGGCGCTGATGCGGAGATGACCGAAGCCGCCGGATCGGGTGGATCGCCCAGCAAGTGCGTGCAGCTGCAGGAGGAGGAGAACGTGACGATGACGACACTGATCAGCGAATTCCAGCCGAAGTGCCGCAACAATCCGTTCGACACGAATCGGCAGGCCAAGTCCGAGGCGGAGTCAATTTCGCCGGAGATTGAGCAGCAGCGGGCCAGCAGCATACTGAAGGACTCCAACTACAAGCGGGCGGCACTCGCCCAGTTGGTGGTGGCCTCAATGGAGCTGCTGCGCTCGCTGCCCGGCGAGGCCGAGGAGAATCTCAAGCTGCTGATGACGCCCACCATACGGGAGGCATTCCGGCTCGTCCAGCTGCAGGGCAACGAGCTGAAGGTCAATCAGTTTTAGGCAATGCTTGTTGAGTTTTATTTTGATCTGTAGGCGCAGCTAAAACACCGGCCCCTACTTAGGATCCATTGAACAGAATCCTGCTACCAGTTATCCCAGTCCCAGTCCCAAACCCAATCCCAATCCCAGTCCCTTTTACCAATGCCTAAACTACAGCTACGTCTGCAACATGAACTGCTCACGCCCTGTGCCACTCACGACTCTTTCTCTCACTCTCTCTCTCTCTCTCTCTCTCTGTGTGTATCTTTATCCGTATCTATGTGTCTCTCTGTATCTATTATTCGTCCGCAGTTCCCTAGCACAGCAGGCAAAACCATTTCAAAGTAAAAGCTCAACATGTCAGCCAGCACAAAGCAAACAAAGCAAAACGAAACGAAACGAAAAGTAAGCAAAGAAAGATCACCAGGATCAAGATTCTAAAGAAGATGGAAGATGAAGCAGTAGATGACTAGAAGAAATAGCGCTTAGCAGCAGCAGCAGCAGCAGCAGCAGTACGTCAAGAACGTGTGTAGTCCTGTAAAATATATTTAGTCGAAAAACTCTTTCTCTCAACCTGAAACCCGTCCTGAAAGCACTTTCCCCCTTGCTCCCCAATATACGTGTACTGTAAAGAACTGTTAGCTAGCACTCTCCCTGCCCGCCACAAGCGGATTCCCCCTCCCTAGAGCAACCCAAAGACAAAATATAATCTAATATACATATAATATATGATATTTATAATATGCATTAAGATTATAGCAGAAACTGTAAACGTATATGTAAAACTTATAGCGAATGTTAACTAAAACAAAATCAGTGCCGCCCATTAATCCACGATTACCACCATTAATGATTAGACAACAAAAATACAGCCTAAACATACGATACATACATACATACATACATATATGTAGAGACATACGATACATACATACATACATAAGTACATACATGTATATGTGTGTAAAAGTAGTCCCATGCTGCCTTTCAAAACTTGCATACCTATGGGGTACCCGTGGGGTACCAAAACCAACAAAGGAAAACCTATAACCTCCTGCACTATCCGAAGCTTATAGCCTCTATCTAGCCTATGTTTTCCGCAACTGCTAACGAACCCAACCGCCCAACTCTGGAATCAGAATCAGTCCCAAATTACCTTTCAAAAGTAAACGCACTCCCACAGCCTGCGCTACATTATGCTATATGAAGATCTAAAGAGTTATATGTCTATATATATACACACATTACTTATACATATGTATTATACATAGTTGTACTCGATGTTGTAAATGTCTAAAAGGATAAAAAACAGAAGCATTTTTATATGTGAAAACTATTAGCAACAGAGCTACAAATCTATACATATAGCAAGCATATACATATACTATATACTATATACATAAATATATTTATTTATTTTCGCTTCGTGGTATATACACACAACAATATACATACACGCATACATATACTATATACATACATATATATATATATATATATATAAAGAACTATGTACTTGTGTTATTTACTTGCCCTCCCCCACCCCCCCACCCTCCTCTCTATCACTCTAAGTACTCGTCTCTCTCCCTTCATAACATTCTCTCTCCTTGTATGAGAATCTCACTGTATCTCGTTGCTATCTAACTGTAAATTGTAAGTGCGAGAAGAGAGTGCAAACTGCGCAAAGCTGTCTGGAAAAAAACGATCATACATAGGACCGCACCGCACCGGATTGTGGTATGGGAGGAGGTCGTACGCGTCATATGATAAGTTAGTACTAAAACTCTCCAAGAGTGCATATGCAATGTGGAATGAAAATAAATGATTTAACAACGCTTTCGCAACTTTACTAAACAATTTCAATGAGTTTTCCGTCTCTATTGGGAGAAATTCTTGCTTAATTCTACTTCACCAATCCAAGAATTCTGGGATTCTCACCCTTTGGAACGAACTCACTTTTTTTTGGATGCGGATTCCGTGATCCCTCGAATGGGTCCAGATTTCTGGAACGATCCGATACTCACTCACTCACTGTGCTCCAAGGTCGCCCACACTTTCTATGCTCTATGCCGATGGTTTTTTCTTAACTAACTGCCTGCCCTATGCAGTCCATCTCAGGGCTGCTGGTCCCTTTCAATCTCTTCTTCTCTGCTTTCCGTTCCCATTTTTTGTGGGTGTGGGTGAGCTGGCTCGGGGATCCCATTATGGATTCGAGCCTCACTTCAGAGCGGTCCTCACCCTCGCTCTCTCTCACCCGCCTAGGTGGCGCCACCGTTAGCCTTGACAGCCTCATTTAAAATACTTCTTCGAAATCCGGTATTTCGCCAATCGATTTCCTTCGAATGCAACAGCAGATATGGGTTTACTCAATATTGTCGACGTTTATTTCGTTGATTGTCCTCCTCCTCCGCTAATGCAAAAACCGCCAATCCCACTAAAAATAATCTCCTGCATGGATCCATTTTGATTTCATTGTTTTATTAACCTTTTATTCACTCTTCACACATTTTCAAAAAAAGCGGCTTCCTGAGAAGTGTAACCGTACGGAATGCGGCTTTTGCTTCTGGTCACACTCTGTAGCTGGCAAAACATATTGCACAGTTTGCTAGCAAACGTGTTTTCGGATCTGAGTAAACTCATAGCCCAAACTCATTCGTATCCATTAAAAAGAGTAGAGATTCATTACTCTGAAAAAATGCTAGTTTCAGCGCCCAGAGTCTTAGTTTGCTGGTAATATTATATAGAAGATCCAAATCGAGGAAAATGATTTTAGAATCAGATTATTTACGGTATATTTTGAAAATAAGAAGGTATATTTGGTATATTTTTAAGGGTCGAATGGTATACTTGATTGATACGACCGTGGTCACACTGGCTGCGTGGTTTGTTTCGCGGGTTACACACAACAAATAAAAAGTTCGTAAACAGAAGAAGTGGTGCGCCGGCGTAAAAGTGTTTATGAGTGCAACAATAGCAGCATTACGTGCACATGTACTTTCCTGACTGTTTTTTTTTGTTTTGTTTACTGCGCAACTGTTGTTTAAATTTGCGTAAAGGAAAGGCACGCCGAAAGTGTTGAAAGTGTTTCAATTTTCCAGTGCACCTGCTCTGTCCCGTCGTCCCGTCGTTTCGGCTGAGCGCGCTGGCACTTCAAGCCACAAAAGTGTAAAGTGCATGCGGCAGCACTAGCCTCCCCGATCTTTTTGTTTTTGTTGCTATTCGCGTCGCTGAATCTGCGATTCCCGCGCCACCGCCGACGCGCAGCCAGCCACCAACCCAACAGATTCTCCGAAGCAAGAATTTGCGCGCTTCTTTGTGATTGTTGCCGCGCTCTAATTGCAAATCTTTCGCGCGTGTGTGTGAGTGTGTGTGTTTGTGTTGCCTTTTTGGTTTTTTGTTTTTGTTTGGCTCTCCTTAACTTTAAAACTTGTGCTGCTTTTGGACGCCCCACCGCACCGCAAATGAGGTAAATACATATAAATGCATGCATGTGTGTGTGTGCTGCAGCCATGGGGGATGTGCAATGTCTGCCTGCATGTTCTGCCGTACTTCTTTCCATGCGTACACAAGCCTGTGTGTGTGCGAGCGTGTAATGTGACGCTATAAGTTTGCCGTTGCTTGGCATCCATCCTCCTTCCACCAAACCGCTACAGGTACGGGTGTGTGTGTGTGTGCGTTTGTTTATGTGTATCTAAGCTGCTTAACGGGCGACACAATTTGTGCGAGAAGAGACGTCGGAGATATTATTAATAAATAATGCATTAATTGTGTCGCGGCCTTCAATTGTGGTGACTCTTTCTTCTGATTTTGTTGTCTGCTGTTGATTTGCTCTAAATACTTTTCAAGTCTAGCCTAAAACGCAGAAGAAGAAAAGAAAGAGCAGCGACAAGACAAGACGAAAGCAGAAGAATACAAAAACAATTGTGCATGCATGTACATATACATATACATATACATATATGTATGTACATGTGCGTATGCACAGTTTGTTCTTGTTCCTGTCCCTGTCTCTCTTTGTTACCTGGTTCTAACTGCAAGAGCACGAGGTTTGCGTCGCTGTCTCTCTCTCTCTCTCTCGCTCTAATGGGGGGGAATGAGGAAGAAAGTTCCCTGTTGCCGTTGCCGGAAGAAAGTTGTATCCTTGCTGTCTCTCTGCATTAGTGTGCAGCCCAGCCTCTGCTGCCACTCCCCCTCCCAACATTATGATTGAACATCTGAATGACTGATTGATCATTGCAGCGACACCCAATCTCTTATGCAATAACCCGCCTCGGCAATTGGGCATTCGAGAGGAGTGGGACTGTGAGAGCACCTGGCCGGCCAAAGGCGCCTGTGGTGAGGCATGAGGCAGCCAGCGGCAGCCGCAGCTGAGACTTTCAAATGACTGAAGCCTGAGTTGTGGGCCAATCGGTTAATTGCATTTCCTGCCCAAAGCCAGCCTCGTCATCACAGCCATCATCATCATCGTCATAATCGCGCTGTTCCCCCCTCATGATGAGGCGTTAATTGTGGTTTAATTGCCCGGACAGTTGCCTGTGGAATGGCCAAACAGTTGCCGCAGTTGCAGTTGCAGTTGCAGTTGCAGAATGGAAATTGCAAAATGGAAAATGGAAAATGGAAAATGCCAATTCGAGTTGCGCGTATCTCATATATACACAAAATTGAAATTATAATGCAGCAAAGCTGAGGCTGCTGCCTGCGGCTGCCCAAAGCACACACAGACAGGCAGTGCCAGAGCCAGGCTCCTTTTGTAACCCAAGCAACGACGAGGACGGGCTGCTGCAGTTGTCTTTGGCCCGGGCAACCAGTTCGCCTCGCCGCCCAGTTAGCCTCAAATGGCATTTCTGCCAGGCGGACAGACAGACAGACAGACAGACAGACAGACAGACAGGCGGCGGCGGCGGCGACTCTCGGACTGGTTGAATTTTCTTGGCTGCTTGTCTGGCATTTGTAGCAAAGCAAAGCCGCCTTTCCAGTCAGCCTGCCTTCCTCCCAATAGGCAAACGACTGCTGCCTGCTGCCTGCTGCTGATGTTAATTTTTATAATCGGTATTTGTGGAGCAGGCTGGAGGGCTGGGGTCCAGAAGTACCCCCCCGGATTCGCATGGCAGGATCCAGTTTTCAGCTTTGCAAGTGCCACAGTTGGAGGAAAGAAAAAAGGAAGATGTCTTTGCCGGAGAGCAAACTTTCGCTGCAGTTCGGCTCTCTCGAGGTGCTGATGATGATCTGCAGATGGTCGAGAGCCAGCAGCAGCAGCAGCCGCGCCCTGCCAATCCCGTTTCTGCATCCAAATGCAACTCCCACTACCACTACACCCCGCCTGTGTGCGGCAGCTGGGCCTCCCATCTGGCAGCTGCTGCTGTTGAGCGTGGGCCCAACAGAGGAGGGCCTCTGTCAGTCAATTAAAACAACTGCCATGGCAGCAGAAATGAAAATGAAAATGAAACCGAAACAGCAAACAGCGAACAGCAAACGAAACATCAATTTATGCAAAACAATTCAATTTTTGCGCGCCATTTCAGCGGTCATTTACCTGTCGGCGCATTAGGGCCAACGCCAAGCGAACTGAACGTACTTGAAACCAGCCAGCCAGCCAGCCAGCCAGCCAGCCAGTCTCAGCTTGTGTTTTGTGTCACGCCTCGAAAGCCAAAAGCTGTTGCAATGTTTCACACGCTGCGCGAGTGGGTGGCTGGCTGCTGGCTGCTGGCTGGCTCTGTGGGATTGGATGGGCAGAGGCAGCTGCTGCTGAGACTCTTTTCTGGCCTGCTGCAGGTGTGTGGGAATCTTGGCCAAAATAGCAAAAGTTCAATAGCAGACACACAGCAGCAAAATTGTTGATCGAGGAGGCGATTGTGGCTGACGCAATATGAAACACAGAGAGACTGAGCGAGGCTCATCTTGCACGCAATCACAGCAAAAAAACACAAAAAAACAAACAAACAAACATCAGAGCTCTGAATGATTCGAGGCGCAAAATGTAAATTGTTTGGCTGCTGATTACTCCCCTGGCAGCGAGAGCTATTGCCACATGCCACATGCCACATATGAGACATTTAATGGGGCAGATGTTGTCATGCCACAGGTAGATGCCATTGCATAAGGCAATCTGCCAGCGCCATCCTAATTGGCTGAAGGTGAAAGCCAAAGCCCAGGCCCAGGCCCCAGCCAATCCTTTGGCGCATTGTTAATGTTCTGCAATTAAAATGAGGCAGAGTAAAAGTTGTGTGCCCCCAGCTTTCTCCCAGACGAAGCAAGGAGCCCCGTTGCAGCTGTGCAGCCAGCACAGAGGAGACGGAGACGGAGACGGAGACGGAGACGCTTCCTTGCACACACGAGGCAGAGGCAGAGGCAGCCGCTTTGGCTTCCAGCATCACGATTATGGTCATGGCTGGGCTCTCGCTTAAGCTCTGGCTCTGTCTCTGGCTCTGGCGCATCCTCCTCCTGTCTGCTGTTTGGTGGCATAACCCACGTTTGACATTGCCTGCACCACACACGAGTGAGGAGTTTCACCAGAAAAATGCCTTCCTTGCTGTGAGCGAGAGGTATGGAATGGCGGCGGCGGGGGGGGCACTTAGATTATCGACAATTTGTCACGTTGTCAGTCGTGCGTTTGCCTGATTGCAGTCAGCCAGGCAGCCAGTCAGCCAGTCAGCATCGGCGGAAGTAAAAGCATTTGCAGGTGCTGCACCAGCCAAAGGAGGATGCCTGCTGTCTGGGCAGTGAAATTCCACAGAAATTTCTCTTTTATTTATTGTAATTTCAATGCCAAGCCAGCCCGTAGACATCTCTGCACAAGCATGGAAATGATTTAGCTTTCAAGGGAAAATAAATGAAGCACAAGAAATACGTGCAAATATTTCCATTTGCCCACCAATAACGAAGCCGAGAGCCGAGAGCCGACTGCGATTGTGTTTGTGGCTTAGGGGCCTGGCTTTTGCTCCAATTTCGGCACGAGAGTGCGACACATTACAGCTGATGCCGCGCATCAATATACAACGATTTGTGATCAAAAAGAAAGCTGCAATTTGTTGGGCAGTAGCCCAAGTGTAGTACCTGTAATGCCTGTAATTCAATGACATTGTGGGCCCACTTATCCCACATCCGTCTGCAATTTATCAGCCGGAGATTGATGTCAATTATCGGAGCCAGTGCCCCATGCTGAGGGTATCCCCTATCCCATCCGCTTATCGATCAGCTCTGGCGCCTGGTTGCCGTTTCAACACTTAATAACAATAGAAAGAGCCAAGAGTCAGTCTCATAATAATAATAATAATGATCATCAGTTTCTGTGGCCGCAACAAATTATTTGGCAGCAGCAGCCACAGCTCGAAAGCTCCACAGCTCCACACAAACGAAAGTCCACAACTCTTTGACGGCCTTTCACCTGCGCTCCACTTGACCCCTGCCCGTCCTCGCTCCTCCCTCCTACAATTAGTTCTAATGAGTTGTTGTGGCACTTCCTGTCACGCCTCTGTGGCATGTTGACACTTTCCGTACGGTTTCCGTTTGGCAATTGCTCAGCTTTCAGCATTTCGGGCTGAGATCTAATTGAAAAAAAACCAGCAAACCGAAACCCAACCCAAGAGCTGCTTTCTGACCATTGCCTGCTGATTATTTCTTGTATTTCCATGCACAATTTTAATGCTCAACATTTCTACAGAAGTGTCCGAAAGTAACAACAAAGAAGAGTCGCACTTTTAGTTACTCTTTAGATACCGAAATATCTTCAAAAAACCACATGCATGTCATGTGCATGACCTGAGCTGAAGTCTCTCTGCAAAGCAAGAGCCAAATTGCTTCTTGTTTGATTTCATGTTTTAGTTTGCGTTTCATCTGCTTAGGCAGCTGCTGCTTGTAGCAATTATTTGAGGAGTGTTTGCCTCCGTCTGCCGCTGGACTTGGACATGGACACAGACACAGACATGGACTTTCTCTGTATAAGTTTTGTTTTTTGATAACTTCAGATGTTGTCTCGGTCTCCAGCATCGCCTCACTGCCACTGCCAGATCCACTTCCAGTTTGTGTTTATGTTTTCTTTTGCTGGCAACTCACGTAGCGGCATTACAATGTTTTCGTTTCTCGTTCTCTTTCTGTTGTTAAGTGTTTTCCCATTTGCCCCAGTCCAGTCCAGACTCGCATTAGCAGCGATTCTCTTTAAATTGATTGTCACGCCGCCGCCTACTCCTACTCCTCCGCTGGGCCTCTGTTGTTGCTTCTTTTGACAGCACAAAGTTTCACCTCAGAACAACTGGGTCTGGGTCTGGGTCTGCCCTCTGTCCGTCAATGGGGAAAGCTGAAGAATCAGCCAAGGAATTGTTTGCTGTCTTCAGTTCGCTCCATTGATCACTTTTACTTAACTGATTAACTGAACTGTGGCTCAGGCACCAACTTCTAAGTCACATCTAAGCAAAGAAGAGCCAGCAACCGAAAGGTATATGAATGCTGGACACTGAAGAGAGAAACAGAGTCATAATCGTGGGGCAGGGTTACGTCAGTGAGCCCCTGTAAGTGGCTTGAACTTTAGCTCTCGAATGGCCGGCCCATGGCTTACACTTCTCGTAAGTGATTTATGATGCCAATCCATCTTGGCGGGGCCCTTATCGGCTTGCAGCCGAAATTTCAATAACAAATTTCTATCATTTTCTTGTCTCGTTTCCTTTCGTTTGTGGCGCTGCAAGTGAAGCGTAGAATTACGTGAAAAAGTGAAATTATGCGACGACAACGACGACGACGACGCTGGTGAATGTGATCCCCGGAGTGGCAGTGGCAGTGGCAGTGGCGCGTGAAAGCAGCCGCAACACCAGCCACCAGCAGCACCAGCCACCATCATCACCATCGTTGTCGATGCGTGTGACCCAATTTTCGGTTAGGGAATTTCGAATTGCAAGTTCAAGTTTTGCTCACATTGAATTCGGGGCTACTCCACTCCTCCCCTCTCTCTCTCTCTCTCTCGCTTGTCAGTCGTTGCACGTCGCCAATCGTGGTGGGCAGACAGGCAGGGGAGGTGCCCCCACGTCCACTTGCTTTCTTTAGCTTTCGCATGGAATGCGAATCGCTTGCCAAGTGCTTGTCGCACTATCGATTGATAGCTCGATAGTTGCAGCAGAATAATCGATCGATTATGCAGTTAAATCAAACCTGTTTCCCCCATCGTTCCTTCTTGCAGCAGCCTAAACTTTCGACAATGCTGACAATGACCGCAACTTCGGCCTCGATATCGACAACGGCTTCGGCATCGGCATCGACGGACTGCAGCAGCAGCAGCATGCAGGGCTCGACGACCAGCTCGGCGGGCAGCGATGTGATGACGCTGACCACCACGGCCGCCTCCTCGTGGTGCGCCATACCGACGAGCTCCAGGCTGCGGGTGCTGCGCCTGGTGCGCCCACACCAGCGTCGCCTCCTGGTGGGCGGCCCGGAGCGTGCCAGCACCTATGGCTTTGCGGTGCGTGGCGGCAGGGAGCACGGCACGGGCTTCTTTGTCTCCCACGTGGAGCATGGCGGAGAGGCGCAGCTCAAGGGATTGCGGGTAAGTGGAGCCCTCACAGCTGACCTCACCCTGTTTCATGGGGTTCTCCTGCTCGCCCGCAGATTGGCGACCAAATACTGCGCCTCAATGGCTTTCGGCTGGACGATGCTGTGCACAAGGAGTTCATTCAGCTGGTGGGCAGCCAGGATCGCATCACGCTCAAAGTGCGCGGCGTCGGCATGCTGCCAGTCCGAGAGTAAGTCAAAGAAACCAAAGCCAAACCCAAGCTAAACGATTTCCCCCCCTGCCCCCCACAGTCAGCCGGAGGAGCGGCTGTCGTGGAGCGTGGTGAAGCTGCCCAGCGTCAGTGGCACGCCCTCGGAGAGCTCCTTCAAGACGGAGCGCAGGAGCGCGGCCAGTCGCGACATCAGCGTGGTGCTGCACGTGGCGCCGCGCACCAAGCTGGGCCTGGGCATCTGCAAGGGGCCGGAGTGGAAGCCGGGCATCTTCGTGCAGTTCACCAAGGAGCGGAGTGTGGCGCGGGAGGCGGGCCTGCGGCCGGGCGACCAGATCCTCAGCGTCAACAGCATCGACTTCTCGGACGTGCTCTTCAGCGAGGCGGTGGCCGTGATGAAGAGCTCCAGCAAGCTGGACATGGTGGTGCGCACCGCTGCCGGCTGTGACCTATTCCCGGGCGAGTCGAGCGGCTACAACAGTTCGGCGAGCTCCGTCACAGGAGACCAGAGTCCCTGCTGGGCCGATGCCAAGTCCAAGCGGCTGACGGCGGTGCGCGAGGAGGCGCCTTCTGGTTCAGCCTCCTGGTCGCAGCCCCAGCCGGCAGTGCCCGGCAAGCAGCTGAACAAAACAATCATAAAGCTGTCCGAGAATGGCACCTCCATCAACAATACGTTCATTGCCAGCCACAGCAGCTCCACGCACATCTTGAAGCAGCACAAAAGTCACCAGAGAACAGCAGCCCAAGGAGGAGCAGGATGTGCACCCATTCCTCCACCGCCAAAGGCAGCCATGAATGAGGCCAGTGGCAGCGGAGCAGGCGGCGCCAGCGATGGGGGGGCAGCTGGGGGCAGCAGCCTCTCCAGTGCCATAACCGAGGAGCTCAAGAAGCGCAAAGAGGTGAGCAGGGGAGCAGGGAGAAGGCGGGAATGTCAGACCATTAATTGAAACTATTCCAGAAGCAGCGCAACAATCGAGACAGCAGCAGCAGCCAAAGCCAGAGCCAAAGCCAGAGCCAGAGCTGTGCGGTTGCCCAAGTGTCACACAGGCAGCGGGGCAATGCAGCAGCAGCATCAACCACAGGTGCAACAGCGAATGGAGGCGATCAGCACACGGCGCTGATGGATGAATTCAAGCGAGCGCATCAGCGAATGTTCAGGAACGGGTTCCATGAGAGTGAGCACAAGGTGAGCCAGCCAGCAGGCAGCATCATCATCGTCATCGTTGTAAAGGTCAAGCGAGCCTCTTGGGCTGCACTTGCTTGCCATTGTTGCGGCTGATTGTTCCCCAATCGAGCTGCTTGGTCCCTGGTCTCTGCTGCCTGCGATTGAGTGCCAATTAATTATGCTTTCAAGTGCATAGTTGGGGCTGAATCCAATGATGGATTTGACTCTTTCGCACTCGAAATGGAAGTGAAATCAATCGGAAACGGAGTGAGTCACGCAAAGAGCGGGCGTCGTGCTGATAGACAATAACCAAAACAAAAGGCAGGCAAACAAATGGCCAAAAGCAAATAGAGGCGGGCACAAAGTGAGAGTGGGGCCGGGCGGGAGTGCCCAAGTGCCCAAGTGTAGTGATTCTGATTGCGAGTGCTCCTCGAATGGGTTTTTATCTAATCGCTTGGCGCCGACGCGTTGAGCGAACTGCGCCGCCAGAGTGGCAGAGCGGCAGAGTGGCAGAGTCAGAGCCAGTGCCAGGTTGGGTGTCAGTCGAGCAGTCTTCACGAACAGATTGAACCGAAATGAGTCTGCTACGTCCGAAGCACGGGCAGGCGGAGGGCAGCAATATGCCAACCATGCGACCAGTGACCATCGGGCGACCTCTGGTTACAATGTCCACCTATCAGGTAGCCATTTGTTGGCCGCCATCCACCCTCCACCCTCCAATTGCCTTGCTAATTCCTTCTCTCTGTGTGTGTGTTTTCCAGGAACGTGGGGAGACCCTGAAGCGCACTTCGATAATGCCAGACGATAGCTGCTATCGGAATAGCACGATTCCCAGCAGCAGCAGCAGCCGCACAACTTCCGCACAGAATTCCAGTCAGCTTGGTGTCACCAATGGAGGAGCAGCAGCACCAGCACCAGCAGCCAGCAATGGGACACCGGAATTGCCGCCACCGGTAAGCCACAGCAGCAGCAGCATTGAGCCAGCATTGAGCCTTTCCTTTGTCATTTGCAGCCGCCGCAGTTTGCCAATCCACAGCCCAGACCGCAAATGCTAAAGCTAACCAATGGCAATGGCAATGAAAGTGTAAATGGAAATGCCAATGGAAATGGCAGCGTGGCCAAAATGAAACAGTCGCAACCCATGTCCCCGATGCGCAGTGCCAGCATTAGTGTGGGCGGCTTTCGGCCACCGGCAACACCACAGCCCGACTACGATGCTGTGCAGCTGCGTGGCAATCGTGGCACCACATCCCCAGCCGCACCAGAAGGTTCCATGCAGCAACGACGAACCCTGCGCTCTGTGGGCACAGTGACCATTGGGGAGTACGGGGAGCAGCGTGCCAAGCGGGAGACACTGAGAAAGGTGAACGGCGGCGACGCGGCTGCAGGAGGATCCAATGGCATACTGAAGAACGGCAGCTCGAACCGGAGCAGCGCCAGTTTCAGTCAGCACGGAGAGAAGACCATCAAATTTGGCAACTGATTTGGGGACTGTCGACAAATACTTTTGTGTGCAATATGCTCGACGGCTGGCCTGGGCTGTTCTAAGGCAGCTTCGAAGAGAGTACAAAATTGGATGTGCAGAGGCGTGTCTTCTTTTTTTTTTACAAATATTAATAGGCATTTTTTTTGGCAAAGATGGATGGAGGATGGACAACGAAGGACGAAGGACGAAGCATTTACTTACGATTAGTTTGTATTATTATTTAATTTACTCTGTAAATAAATGTATGCCACACACACACACACACACAGAATACAGAATAGATATAAATAAATGTGTGTTCAGATGTTTATATATAGAGACAATGGCAAAAAACACAACACAATATCCCACCACCCACTGATAAGACAATGAAAAATGCCTCAACGCTTGCGTCAGACAGCGACAACAACCCGCAAAATCCGCAAAGATATCGCGCGGTTTACTGTACTGCAGTGTGTACCAATTGGCTGCTTGATTGATCGATTTATGGCAGCGCGACACTTTAATTAGACAGCCCCAAGACGGTCTTGCAAGTATTTGCGTGGGAAAAGGGCCAAGGCATGCTCCTACATGTACTGTGGTGGGAAGACTTCTTGCACTTTTAGTAATGGATCCAGGTGTACAGATAATCCCTAAACAAATAACCTGCCAATCGCGGTCACCGCTCGATTATATACTTCTCCCAGATAGCCAGCTCACCTCTCTCGATGAGTGTGTGTGGAAACTGCACAGCCAATTACTCGGTTACTCGGTTCACCCGAGCATCAAATTTGAGATATTGCCACACCGAAGGTAAATGAATATGCTAAGTATATCCAATGCTTGAACCATTTCCCCACGTACGAGGGGCCAGCTCTGAGCCGATAAGCCAGCGCACAGTGGGTAAAAAGAACCAATCTATTGTCAGATTAAGCTTCTTTCAGGGCTATACTTTACAGTTACAGCTCTGATCTGCACTCGATCACCCGTCCATGTGTGCATTTCATAAGAATCTTATAATTTCTTTCAGTATGGTCAGCGTGGGGAATAAGTATTGGTACTCACCACAGCGAATAACAACACCTTTATGGTAAATGCATCCTGCCAAAGATGAATTTACCATAAAGGTGGTAACCTGTCCAGGAAGAACTTACCATAAAGGTTTTGCCATCCGCTGAGTTCCAAACGAAACAGAAGGGGGTTGGTTATACAAGAGTAACTCTTCTGCGGTACACGCTTCTGATTGATTTGTTATTGCTACATGTACCATAAACGACAATCAAACTCAAAATGTTTGCGCTTTTAATTGATGAATGACGCTTGGACTGGGTGGCGGCATGTAATGGACCATGTCTGGAGGCAGTTGCACAAACCCGGTCCGGTCGGCCGGTTGACCAACTAACTGAGTAAACGAACACCGAACGCAGTTTCCTTCCTCATTGTTGCGCCAGTGCCAGTGCCAGCGCAGCTGTGGACTGCAACAAGTTTGCCGCATTGCGGGTTTACTCTGCCAATGGCCAATACCCTCTTCGATGCGGAACAACAGCCGCAACGGTATACCCCACGCGAGCGTGGGTATCCGTAACTTCGTTTCCCTGTTGCGGCTGCTTAAGTCGTTACTCTACGGCGAGCGATGCTTATGACTCGCTGGGTCAGCTGGGGTTACTTTTCAATTGGTTTTGGGTTACGGGAGATTAGGGCAGCTTAGGTTAAAGTAAACGTTCAGTCAAGGCCGCCTGGAATAAAGCTCTGATTGATTTCAAGCAGAGAAAGATCAAGCAGTTGGGCATGCACTGGGATTCCCTTAACCATATTCCACATAGATGGATGATTGCCACATTATGTACTGTAGCGGCTCCCGTTGTCGTTTACACAAGCACCGAAATATAACCCAGCAAGCGGCAGACAGCAAAACTCGCTCAGAGTCCAAGCCCCGACTCGAGGACGGGTTAAGCCAATAAAATCGTTGCGCAGACGCGGCGATTCAGTTGAAATTTGGACTCGGCCGTGCACAGACAGCGACTGGCCAAAAGCGGAGACAGCCCGAAAGTTAGCGACGTTTTGCACCTCACATCGCGCTCAGCTTAGTTCACTTTCAGTTTCGTAAGAGTCCACACCACACACGCACAGGTTTTGCAATGACAACGATGACAACGATGTTGAGGCTGCCGCTGCCGCTGCAACTGCTGATGATGGTGCTGCTGCTGGGGCAGTGCGCTCGCGGTACGCCCATAGCGCCCACAACCCAGGACGGAGCCACGCCCATAGATGCCAGGCTGTCGGCGGAAGAGTTTGGTGCCCTCGACGCATTTGCCGAGGCGGAGTCCACACAGGTAGCGGCCAGTGAGCCATCGGCCGGTTTCAAGGTGAGTCTCGCAAAAGGACGAACGAATTACACCTTGTTGAGGTGCAACCTGGAACTGCTTGCAGATCTCGCTGCTGCCCAAGCCCTCCCAGACGGCGGAATCGGTGAACCTCGAACAGGAGGCCATACAGTCCAAGGTTCTCAGCGCCTATGACAACAGCCAAAAGAAGTTGGCTGAGTTCTCCCAGGTGGGTTATACTTCTCTCTAGCACACTGTAGGCAATTGTATGTACTTTTTTGTTGGTACGACTGTAGCCCGTTCCCATTTTGGATACCATCAGTGAGCACGAGAAGTACGGCAACAATGGCGACATGTTCGACGGCATCTCACGGACCATTGTCCATGGTTACGAGGCCTTTTCCAATCTGCTCAACACACTGATACAGGTGAGTGCGGTGCTGAAATTTACAGTTTGTTTGATTGCTTGTTGGTTCGCACATTGCATTGCACAATAATGTGAAGAGAGCAGAGCGTATGCAGCACTGCTTTGGCCATTGCTTTGGCCACTGCTTTGTCTCCTGCTTTGTCCTCTCTTTATGGCCGCTGCTTATGCAAGCAGTCGTGCGTTGTCGACAAATGTGTTGCGTGTTCAAGGTCAGCTTCACGCTCTCTCTCTTAATCTCGCCTCGCTCTCTCTTTGTACAGAAACCCAAAGAGCTGGCTCGCAGCGTCTCCAAGGGCATCACCGCTCAGCTAGACATCATCGGTGGCAAACTGGTGGGGCTCTGAAGAGAATGCATTGACCCTTGCAGAGGGTGTCACGGATGTTTCCCATAACCATGCAAATAACTGTAATGGGAAGTACTGGGCACTGCTTACAATGTGTACTCCAATAATCATAGATCTACATGCTGCGAGGGTTAAACTTTGATCAAATCCTTCCTGTAAATTGTTTTTTGTTTTGTTTTGTTTGTAATTTAAATAAATACTTTAATTTATTCGTAACTTATCGCGCGAGACATCGTAGTTGTGTAATTGATTATGTGTAGGAATGTGTATTCGATATGTAAATATTATAAATATATAAATAAAATAATCATACGCACAATAAGGTTATTAATTAACTAAACTCTTCTGCTGCTGCTTCCTCTCTGCTGCCTTCCTACTCCACATCTTCGTTTTGTTTTTTGTTGCGCCGTGGGCAGTTTCTTGTTGTTGTTTGTTGCTGAATACTACAAGTGTCCATTAAAATAACATAAATATATGCAGTGGGTTATGTACGTATGTTGCTTTAGCTATTCTGGTCCTGGTCCTGCTACACTACTAGAAAGCACATCACAATATGGATACACCACTAACTACACACAGGCTTCGATATGTGTGTGCGAGTGTTTTTGTTGTTTGCTTTTCTCCTACAAATGATAACATAAAATTAATTTTTGGCACAATTCGCAGAATGATTTAAAAACTAAAAAAGAGACAAAAAAAAAAAAAAAAAAAACTAAAGAAATGCCCGGAGAGGGACTCTGCTAGAGGCGGGTTCAGTCCTCCCAACTGCTGGTGCGGGTCTGGGGGTCGATCGAGGGCGAATAGGATTTGTATGTGTCGGAGGCCCGCTTGTGCTTGACGGTGCAGAAGAGCAGCATCGAGGTGATCAGTCCGAAGAGCTGGACGAAGGCGATGCCCAGCCCGATGGCACCCACCACATTCAGCTGGCCGGTGAACCAGCTCTGAAGCGAGTGGGCGCATCCCTTGTCCCACCACAGCGAAGGGTTCTCAGATCTGTCAATAATAATTCGCAGGGGGAGATTAATCAATCGAAGAGCACTGTGCTTTGTTCCACTCACCTGCCGCAGTCGACGCGCAGGAGGCCATCGCCGGATCCTTCGGTCAGCAGCTGCCGCTGGTCGTACAGGGTGCGGCAGCAGGACTCCGGCACCCAGCGCTTGCCCGTCCACGACTGAACGTCGTACCAGTCCTCGTAGGAGGATACACCGCAGCACTCAAACTGCCAGTGAGAGGGTGTGGAAAGCAGTCAATGTTGGGCCAGTGGCATAGAGGAATGAAGTCTCAACTCACCGACTGCTGCACACTGTCCCAGATGGCGGCCACCGAGGGTGCCACCAGGGAGCCACGGTCGCTGCTGTTGTAGTGGCGTTCGATCCCGAAGCGCAGCTCGTTGGCCAGCGTCCGTCCAAGTCCGCCGCGGAAGAGGAATGCAATGGAGCCGACCAGGAACTCGCTCATGAACAGCATCACGATCAGCATAAAGTACTTTTGGGGACAGAAAACGAGAGAGAATGTGACAGCCAAAAGCTTCAACTTGGTGTCCTTCTGCCACTTACCAGCACCAGCAGACAGCGCGACTGTACCCAGGCGCCGCAGCAGCCAAGGAAGCTCACCACGAAGCCCACACCGCCAATGGACATGAAGATCGTGTCCGCACTGAGTGCGGCATGTTGCGGCAGCAGCGTGGCATATCCCTCGTAGCTGAGGCGCAGCCAAAGGCCGGCGCCCAGGAAAGCGCAGCTGCAGAGCTGTCAGAGAGAGAGAGAGACAGAGAGAAATGGAGTGATGGAGAGGGCTCGAGCAATCGGGACAAAGCTTCCCGATCTGACATCGATTGACAGTTCAAAGAGCAAACGGAAGGGAGACAGAGACTGACTCCAAGCTCCGCCAAAGCCGTACAAGACAATGACAAAACAGACAATGCGACAGGGACAGGGACCGGGAGACGTGCATGCATAAATGTATGTAAATGCATGTACAGATATGTATTTATGTATGCACGTACATACACAGTGGAGACGACACTGCTTGCTTCCGCTGCAGACGCGCGACGTCGGCAAAGTTGTGCCTTTGATTTTTGCTGCCATCTGTCGGTCGCACTGCCTGTTGCTCTGTCTGTCGGTCTGTCTGTGCCGTCTGTTGCTGCATATCCGCTGCATATCTACTTCAAAACAATCCCAGTCTGTGTGCTGGCAGCATCACGTATCGGATTCGAAATCATCAGTTAAGGTAATTCCTTGCTGCTGTCTGACTTCTGCATCCTTCCACATGCTTCCTATTGGGATTGGGGATGTGCGCCACTTACCCAGAGAATGATGTTCAGCCAGCAAAAGGTGCGGCGTATGCACGTGTAGCCGGCGTTACCCATCGCGGGAGCTGCAAATAAATGACAGAGATGCAGCGGGCTTTAGTTATGAGGCAGCTGTGAGGGAGTCCCCTTTCTACACACACACACACACACACACGCAGTGGGGGGGGGGGGGGGGGGGGCATAAATCATGGGCAACGCGATTGCGATTGCCGCGCTGCATTCATTAGAAATGTTCTTTTCCATCTATTAAATAAGCGATTTTGTTTTTTGTTTTTTGTTTTTTTTTATTCGTCGACCCCATTGAGCGAGCGTGAGCGAGTGTGTGTGTGTGTGTGTGTGTGTGTGTGTGTGTGTATAAATAAAACTGAAATTTCATAAATTTAAACAAAAAGAATTTATTGTTGCTATTTTTTTGATGGCTTCCATTGGCATTTCCTTTTGTCTATGGCCATTTAATGGGAGTATCACGGAATGGCGGCGCGCTCTGCCAGCGCAGCTGTTGCACATCCAATCCCCCCCCCCCCCCCACCCACTCGGATTCATTTATGCAAATAACATATATGATATGACCCAATGAAAACAAACAAATGGAACAGCAACCAGATCCGAAATAACAAACGAAAGCAATCGGCAGAAGGGGAATACAGAGGAAAGGGGCCACCGGCGAGGTCTCAATAAGTCATTCAATGGAATAGTAGGATAATAATAGAGGAAAAAATCTATAAAAACTAATTTGATGAATCCAGGAAATCCAGATTGAATATGTAAACTACCTGAAAGCCAAGCAAATATTTACAGACGTTCAGGCGCAAATTTATCTGCTAAGACCTGGAGGATTGTGGCAGTGAAGAGAACCAAAAATGGCCAACTTTCATGGGAAATAGAAAACAGAAATTCAATTGGTTTTATGCTAATTATTACATGTTGTGTGGCAATCATGTTTCGGATCTGGGAAACTTCATGTTCGATTCGCGCGCCACCACAGAGCGCAGCTTAGATGGTCGCATGTGAGTCAGCAGTTAGTCGGAGGCAGGAGAGAGAGAGAGAGAGAGAGAGAGAGAGAGGAGCAAGAAGATGAAATTACAATATTTTGAAAGGTACCAACTGCACTGCTTGCCAAAGCAGTTATGGCTGATCACTGCTTTCCACTGCTTAACGAATGCCACAGCCTGCTTGCCATCTTCGACTGATTGCGCTGGATTAATAGAATCTAAGCGGGGTCCATCCCTAAGCCACCCCACCACACCCTCGTTAATGGATCTGAACTTGAAACCTTGGGGCGGCTGCTGCACGCGACAGACGCATGCGCATGCAGTTTGCTTTCCAGAGTCCTCCTACGATCCCAAACAACTGTGGAATGCCAACCGGAGGGAAAAGAGCTGCTGTGTAATTGGAATAACTATCATCATCATCATCATCAGCGGCAGCAGCAGCAGCGTCCAGCACATCCAACATAATAATGAAATAGTAGTGCAAATAAGCACTGGGGCATGGATAATGGGACTTGGGCCAGGGTTGTGCAGTCCCAGTCGCAGTCCGTCGTTTCCAAGTGCGAACAATTGCAAAGGCACAGCAACGAGAGTAACTGTCGCTCGCTTATTTTCCAATTTAACTCAATAACGCGGACTGGCTTAATGGCATTTGACGCTGAAAATTTGCGATTTACCCCAGACCCGTCCGCCCCACACACAGCTGCACATTTATCATAATTCGAGAGTGGACAAGCCGAAGCTGGGGCTGGACTATGAGTACTACTACAACTAGTGTGTGGCTTTGAGGCTGGACCTCTCCGAGCCTCTGTCTCTGTGTCTGCGGATGTTGCCCGAGTGATTTATGCCATGGAAATTGTTGGTTAACAAATCTGGAAATTATTCTCTGTTTCTTCAAATATAAATATTTCATAATCGGAGGCAAAGATCAAGATAAGAGCGGCATACGACGAAGAGGAAGAAGTGGATGGCAAAGCAGTAAAAAAAAACAGTTTCCAAGAGCGATGGGGAAAAGAGAGCGAACAGCAAGCAGTGGAATCCGCACAGATCCGCCAAGTCGACGACATTTGCGCCAACAACAAACAACAACAAGAAGAGCAACAACAGCAAGAGCAGCAGCAAGCAATGAACAGATTTTCACCGTCTGCCGATGTCTCTCTTGACCATTGACTAGCCAATCTACCCCTCTCGAGAGCTCTTACTGCTGTTGGTCTTTCGGTGTGTCGTCCACGAAAAGTTTTCTCTTTTGAGATACTCTTCGTAAAAATGGGTACTACAATTTACCAACAAGCAGTGTAAGATTTATTCTATTAGATGTCGATGGTAACTGATCACTGGGGAAACATACTCGTATTTCATGGCATTCACGAGACCAATTAAATCCAAGCGTGAGTAAGACGTAAGAATTTAATGCCTGTCCCCTAGCTCTTAACTTTTAAGCTAAATTTAACCGAAACCAGCTTCATCTAAGACCTGTCATAACAAAGACAGCTCGTAAATCACGTCTTAGTGGTAATACTTTCGTTTTGAAAGACAATCCAGACAAAACTTGACCAACTCTTGGCTGACTTTGACTGTCTTTGACGAGGAATAATACGAACTTTAAGAGTATTTAAACCTGCGACGGCCAAGCCTAGCCTTTCTTTTTTCTTTGCTGTTTTTCGTGCCGTTTTGTCTCCGTGGAGGGGGGGGGACTGGAAAAGCAGGGCCAGGCGCTTGCCCGTCGATCGGCCAGGCCAATCTATGTGTTTACTTTTTTTCAGTTTCAATCTGGTTTTTTTTTTTTGTCTTTCTGTTTTGGTTTGCTGGATACATTTGTGGAAGGATTTGCACTTGGATCCTCCCACAGTCACACGTACATTTGTGTTACTCCAACTCAGGGGGAATCGGTTTCGATTTCGGTATCGGTTTCAATCGGTCTGTTTCGATGTCGCGCACTAATGTAACTGCACGAAAATGTAACTGCAAAAAAAATTGTGCTGCAATTTTGTAGAATTTGTTGGTCTCCTTTTGGGTGATTCTTTGCCGACACACGTTGTTGTCCAATTTATTTTTACAACAATTTCAATTTTTGAGAGTTTTCTATTTTGCGCTTTTGTTGCTGCTGCTGCTGCTGCGACTGTTCTGCACGGCACTGCTGGTCGGCTCGGCTCGGCTCGGTCCGCGGGTTCTATGATGCGCTCGCGGCGGCTGCTGAAGTAAACTTGACGACAAAATAAACCAACGGTTTTCCTCGCAGTCGCCGTCGCCGTCGCCGTCGCCGTCGCCGTAGCAGTCGCAGTCGCAGTTAAAAATAGCAAACCGAGCATCGAGCACGAAGCGACAGCGCAGACACGAAGCTTTTTGTTGTTGCATGCAAGCGGTGCATGGCATTTTAAAACGAGGTGGAACCAGTAGAATTTTCATTGCCCCTACAGTTATCATTAAAGCACGCTCTATGGGAATGCCTTACCTTGCGGAAACACACACCTTGGCCATGCAACTTATAGTGTGGGGGAGAGCAAAGTAGTTGCAGCCTCTCCTCTCTCCGGAACAAAGCCAAAGAGAAAGAAATAGTAAGAGATGGAGTGGGGAAGAGTGGCAGAGAGAGCGCGCACGCCGTCTGCACACATACTTTGTGAATGAGATTTATGTTTAGATTTCAGTGTCACGTTTTGATCCACATTTCTAAATAAACGAATCAAATCAACGCATCAGCAGAGAAGCCAGCGTCAGCGCTTAACAAAGAATCCAACAAAAGAGCGGGGAAAAGATAGCGGGGGAGCAGATGCAGAGGCAGCGGCAGAGGTGCCGCGCCGTATGGAAATGACAGAAAGGGAAATGGAAAGTGGAACTAGTGACGCAAGCGGTTACGCTATTGAACCGTTAGCTGTGATGATCACGCACGTCTATGATTGGAAACGACGTAAAGAGGAGATGCTCTGCTCAGTCATAAGTATTACAAAAGAAAACAGTAATCACTGCTTATGGAGGCCATCGAAAAATAGCAAACATAACGCAGGGGCGGGTTAACGAACTCAAAACATAAACAAGACGGAAAATGTGGCTGGGCTTTGGCAACGCAGCTTTGAATACCCTTTGCTAAAATCTTGGTCCCATTTGGTTGTGCTCTAAGGCAATATTAATCAGAGCTCAGTAATACCAGTTCCATCTGAGGATACACTTATTTCATTAGTACCTCTAACGATACCCTTACACGCCAGTGATTATAATTATTTATGATTGCTTTTATGTGAAATCGAAGTTTGAATAATGCTGGCGCAACTCTCGAACCAAAGCAAAACCAAATCTCTGACGCAACAGAGTTGAGCTCTGGCGAAAAAACCCCCCACAAGCCGGCTACAACTCAAATCCAGTGGCGGGCGAGCTTAGCATAAAGGAAAGTTGGAAGATTTCGTTTACCTTTCCATACATAAAATCTCTACAACATTTCTTTATTAAAACTATGTAAAAAAAAAAGGGTGACAGCCGCAACAGAAAGCGGTAGACGCTTAATAAGCGGAGCTGGAGATGCGCGGAGGCGCAGAGGTCATTATGTAAATGGGGCCATCGAGCAGTGATCTGTCTCACTTGTCTTTGCGCAGCTTCTGGCTGGAGAGCTCGATGGCATCCAGCCAGAGCTTGAGATCGGCGGGCATCTCCGGTCGCTTGGCCGCCTCCGGGTAGGTTTTGAGCAGCTCCTCGACGTTGCAGTTGGTGATGCACTGCTTGGAGAGGGCGACGGCACGCACAAAGCCGTCGGACAGCGTCACGAACTGCTGCTCTAGGTAGATGGCCTTGTCGTCCCACCAGACGAGCTTCGTCTGGATCTTGTACGGATGGAAGATGGGTATGGTGCGGCGGTAGCGCACGCTGCTGGCACCCTGCACGGCGCCGCCACGCCTCTGCCGTATGCGCTCGTACAGACCCGTGAGGGCGTAGAAGTGGAAGCGGGCAAAGTCGAGTTCGCGCAGGTAGCGCGCATTGTTCATGTGCCGTATGAAGATGTCCACATCCTGGGAGGTGCACAGCCCGTAGATGGAGGTGCTCTCCGTCACCTTGCGCTTGCGCTGGAACAGCCGGCCGGCGAATACGGTGAACACGCAGCGGATGAAGTAGTTCACATCCCAGATCACGTAGAGGATCAGCAGAAGCACCAGCCACGACATGGTTCAATCGCTCTTCGTATTTGTATTTTTCTATGGGTTGGGATAGATGGGGAAAACCTGTTAGGTCGCTCCAGCGAAAGTTTTGCAACAGACTTTAGTCCGCGTCCCGTGCCGTTCCGTTCAGCGTCTTGCCTACAGCCAAAGTCCGTTGCGCGGGGCGGATGTCAATCGTATGCACTGAACCCGCTGGTAAGCAGTGCGACAATTCCAGCTCTGGAAATCTACTTACATTTGCAATAATCGATCCCTCTCGCTCACACACACAAACACAGAGTGACGCTCAGCTGGCGTGGATACGCGAAGAAGAAGCGAAGAAACAACTACCGTTGACTGGGCAAGGCCAGAGAAGACTGAACGGCGGCGCCACCGTCACCGCAGCGAAGAAAGCTGGCAAGCAGTCCAAAGTTGGAGAGTGGAGAGAAGCACCAGCAGCAGCAGCAGCAGCAGCAGCAGAGGCCCAGAAAGAGAGCGGAGAGCCGCTGCCCAACTCTCAGAGAGCAGCAAGCAGTGATTCTTGGCTGTTGTGATTGCATTCTTGCTATTGTTTATGTTAATTGCCGCTGCAAGCCACTATATGAAAGGTAAACAAATGTAAGTATTTTCATGTTTTGGCGAATACCGTGTGCCGAATGCCGATCGATTGCTTTCCGATTACGATTCCGATGACTAAGTGGGAGTGCAATAAACACGCGATCAATTAACACATTCGCGGGCTTATGTGGAAATGCTGGGAATTACAAAGTTGGCTGGGGCCGAACTCTAAACGCTTGCCAGGTTGTTAAACTGTAAATTACCCAAAAGGTACAAGTCTGAAGTCAAGGGGCGGGCATACGAAGTCAAGCAGTCATCGAAGAACTCTTCTGCAGACTCCAAAATACCGTTGCATGAGGGCATACTTTTGGGCGATTCAACTGGGCAGAGAGAGGGAGAGAGAGAGAGAGAGAGAACCCGTTAAGCGGAGAGTTTTTGATTTTGTTTTACTTAACACAATCCATTGTACATCATAAACTTACACACACTTGGGACTACCAATGGGGCGGTGTTGGGGTTGGGCATTCAGACATGAATGCTGATCATCATCATACATTAGATAAAGCTAGGGTTTAGGGGCGGACACTTACGCCTAGGGTCACTGGGACCACTTAAACATGTATACATAGTACGAGTAGCACAGTTTGTTTTTGTTCTTTAGAAATGTGTCGGGAGAAGTGACGAGCTCCAGTTTGGCAGCTCCCGTCAGCAGCCGCTGCGCAGATTCTTGCTGGACATGTCATTGTACTCGATCCACTTGGACAGCTCCGGTGGCAGGGGTGGCTTCAGCTTGGCACAGTGCCCCAGTGCTGTCGTTGGGGCTGTCGCGGGCGCTGTCGCTGGCACTGCTGCTGCTGCGTGTCCATTCTCGGCCAGAGAGGATTGATCCATCGCTGGATTACTGATGCCGCCGGTTACGCTCATGGGCTGCAGGCCAGCCTCCGAGCCGGCCACCACTTGCCGCTCCATTGGCCGGTACTGGTCGGAGGCCGTTCGTGGCAGCAGCTCGGCCATCACCGCCTCCATGGACACGTCAATGACGCGCTGCCGACAAATGGCTATGCAGTGCACAAACTTATCCGAGGGCCGCACAAAGCGATGCTCCATGAACAGCGACTGCTCGTCCCAGTACACGATCTGCGGAAGAGAAACCCAAAGGTGAGGGGAGCCACAGGTGGGAAGCCGGAGCCGGAGCCGGAGCCGGAGCGGGAAACGGAATACTCACCCTGGAGATAATGTTGAAGCGATGAAAGGGCCGGATGAAGCGGCGATAGCGTATGGTGGCAGCGCCCTGGAACACGGATCCGCCCATGCCCCTGATGGTGCGGTACAGATTGCTCCGCTCGTAGAAGTCGACGCGGGCAAAGTCCAGCTCCCGGAAGTAGCGGGCATTGTTCATGTGATACAGCAGCGTGTCCACATCGTTGGTGAGGCACAGACCTGGGAGGGTCCGAGACTGAGCATTAGTGCACCAGCAAGCGGCCAAGCCAGGGGGACTCGCACTCACCGTTCACCGTTGTGGCGTCCAGTATGTGGCAGCGCCGCTTCACGAATCGCGCCAGAACCATGCAAATGCACATGCGCAGGAAGTAGTGCAGCTCGAGGAGTCCGTAGAGGAACACGATTACCAGGAGGCAGCCCAGGGCCAGGTAGCACAGCTGCTCCATGGTCGCGAAGATGCTGACTGATGTGACTGTTGCGTTGGCCTCTAGCTGTGTGGCTGTTGTGGCTCTGACGTAGGCGGTTGGGCTTTGGGCGGTGGGCGGTGGGCTGGGTACGTGTGGGCCAGGGGCCTTGGTGCTGGAACAGTTCCGGAAACTGAAATGCAGTGAGAACAAATGCCAATCAAAATTGGAAGCTAATTAGAGGAGGCGGAAGTGGGAGGAAACCAATCAAGTGCTGGCTGTGGGTTAGGGTTGGGCAAGCAGTCCGGCAGCCGCTCTCTTTGCTGCGGCTGGGCTGGCTGCTGGTTTTGGTCCTGCCTAGGTCCTAAGCGATAGCCACACGAAAATTAGGTCATCCCGGATCATCAGTTGATTGATTGGAGCACACACGGAAACAAGCGGCAAGCAGGACAAGCAGCGCAAGCAGGGCAAGCAGCGCGAGCGGGGCAAGCAGAACAAACCCCCGGATTTGTTGTTGATTCGCCTCCTGCTGTACCCTCCCACTCACCCACTGTGGTGGCCTGAGGACAGCTGCTGGAATAACGATATTTTCCGTTTTCCTTTTCTTTTTTTTTTTTGCTCTCTGGCCACAACAGGAAAAACCGCCAAGCGCCAGCCGAAACTCGGCAAGAAATCAAAAAAGAAATAATCACACAACACAAAAAGAAAACTTAGCCAAAACAAAAGAAAGGCACAATATATTATTTAAAACGACACCAGGAGGAGAGACAACAATTGTTATTGAGTCAAGCGACGCGCCTTCTACAGCGACAACAAACGCACTGAAACTTACAAACGTTTTTTTTTTTTGAGTGTTTTTTGTTTTTTTTTTTGGCCAAAATGCTCGGGTGCTTCTGCCTGCTGCTGGTGCATCGCTGCTCAGTCTCAGTCTCAGTCACAGTCTCCGCCTTCGTCGCCGTCTCGGTCTTAGTCGCGAGGGGCGCCTCTACGACGCCTGCGCGCTGAGCGAAGTTCGACCCGTCCATCCGCTCGCTTTTTCGCTTTTTTCGTTCGTTTGCTCTCAGCTGACGTCCTCCTCAGAGCAGCAGCTTTAGGCCGCAAAAAGCTCTTGCTCGGTCTGGTAAGGGTTGAAACCTGTTGAGCGAAAGCTTTGGCTTTCATCTCCGCCCGCTTCCGCCTCGGGCAAAAGTTCCTTGGTTGCGCTTTGGAGCCGTTGGGGGTCGCTTGTGGAGCATCTTCAGAGATGACCCTCGAGGTGTTCCTGGCAAATAAACTCAGCTAGATAAGTGCATGGGGGCGGACTGCCTGGGGTGTACCCGTTAGCACTCTTTCCAAATGCATTTTCCCTAACATGCATTTTGCAGACTGACTGGGTAAAAATAGTTCAAATAGAATTTCCATTCAATTATAAGTAGTTTCAGAAGTGAAGGGCTAGCCTTTGGTCCGCTGGCAAATAGGAATGCAATATTGGCCTTTTTGTCGACTAAGAACACAAATAAGCTATCCGCAAACACTAGTCAGAGCACACGCTATGCAAATACGGGAAGTTGACAAATAAATAAAACAACAACAACGACAACGACAAGCTCGTAAGAATGCTATGGGGTCTATAGTCGAGTATTCCGAGTTGAATGATTACAAGTGGAAAAGTATTGAGAACAGCCTCCTGGTGCTGGCACATCATTCACTCAAATATAATTATAATATAACTAATACGCGGCACAAAATACCAAAAAGAGCCAATAACCGGCATCGATTAACCGTTCGTCATTGCTCCCACCCCACCTCACCCGCCATTGATTTTCGCTCCTCCCTCACGTTGTGCATTTTCTCTTCACATGTTTGTATTATTTCTCTTTTTTTTTTTTTGTGTATTTTTAGCTTAAACAAATTGAAAAAAAAAACAAAAACTAAACGTTCAAGCGCGTTAAGCTTTAAACTAGAATTGTGTTAGTTGTATTTTTGTTGTACTGCTTTTGTGGATTTTAGGACAAACATAATTTACGACAAAGGTGATTAAAGTTGTAAGTGCTATGTACAGAGTGGAGGAACAGTTGGAGCAGCCTCTACTCTTCCTTTCGACTCTTCCAACTGTTCACCCGGGCGGGGGGAACAATGCCTATTTTTGTTTGTTGACGTTTTCGGATGCATGTACCGCGTATTTTTCTTTACATTTCTTACATATAACACAGGTTTAGCGCACAACAACAGTTTCTTCCTTTCCTTTTTTTTTTTGATGAGTTTTCTGCGGGGTCCAAGCGGGGACTAACTGGCTCCTTGTTGTATCATGTTATAGACTATAACTAATTATATATTTGTTTATGTGTTTATGTATGTATGTGTGTGTGTGTTTTATGGTTACTAGACTTAATTATGCCATCTCATTATTTATATATTTACAAAAGGGAAAATAAGGATCTTCTTCTGTGTGTAACAATAACAACAAAATTAGTAAATTATACAAGAAAATTGTTAAAAAAAGAATTATTAAAGAGAAATGCCAAATTCTTAGGGCAGCCTGCGGGGACAGACAGTAGTTATAGATCGATAGATAGGTAGGTAGGTAGATGGTAAAGTATTTTGGGATAGTCTAAAAGTTTATTCTGAATCCCTTGCTCTTGCACTCTCCATCCTGCTCTTACTCCTGCTCTCTCTCTCTCTCTCTCTCTCTCTATGTCTATGTCTATCTCTATCACTCTCGCTTGGTTCTTATCTTCGTTCGTGCTTGAATGAGACTAAATGTAATCCCATCCACTGACTATAAGGCATACAAAACGACACACAGATCTCCGACCGAACTCCACACTCTGTGATCTCAGCTCGCTCTTACAAACTAAACCCTACATTTGGGGTTCCATTTCCTTTCCATTTTCGCATCTATTCCATTCAATTTCCGTTGTTTCTTTTTTTTTTTGTAGTAATTCTAAACATTCCGACGAATCCCTTCACAAAGTTCTGCACTGGAGCAGACGAGCAGCGCGGAGCATTGGAGCAGCAGTTGGGCAGGCAGGCAGGCAGGCAGGTGGCAGATGGCAGATGGCAGATGGCAGGCAGCTCCTCATTAAACGTCGTTGGCCTGGCAGAGGGCCTCAAAGTCGCAGCTCTCCACGCTGTGCGCATACAGGCGGCGCAGCGTGGCAAGCGGGCAAAGATCCTCGTTTTGCGGGCAGCCAGGCAGCCGGACTACACGCTCCTGATGCAGCACCAAAACACGAGGCGGCTCCTGCTCGCATCTGTCGCAAGGAAATGGCACACAATTAGAGACTAAATTCGATAGAGGCGAAGCAGCAGGACAACTCACTCGTAGCGCAGAAAAGCCAAGTTGGTCGCAAAGGCATCGATTTCGCTGGTGCGCCAGAGACGCTCGCTGCCGAAATGCTTGTGGGTGAGTGCCTCCTCGTCCTTGGCCAGACCCAGATGGGCCAGCAGCTTCAGCAGTGTGCCCGAGTGGGTGAAGTAAAACGTGGCATTGGCACGCGGCATGGCCTGGGCCTGTGGCTGGTACTCGTCTGGACTGGTGGGGGGAATAAACGTTTTTGTAATGAAATGAGCCCAAATGGAGTGGAGCTGGGACTCACTCGATGGCTGCAAACATATCTGCTATTGCCGGACAGGCAATGCGGTGGGTCAGCTCATAGCCATAGCCATCGTTCCAGTAGTACTCCAGATCCTTGGCAAACTCCAGAGCCCGCAAGCTGGCCACATCGAAGAAGCTGCACCAGACGGAGGCGCGTTGCCGCCGCCGCTGCCAGGCCGTCTCGAAGGCGCACACCATATACATGAGCTCCACGTCGTCGGGCCGGAGGTCCGGCAACTGTGTGCTGCTCCGCACCTGCTCCACTGCTGACTGCATCTCCGGCTCATCGCTGAACCGGCGTGCATTAATAAAAGTTTCGGGATTCTTATCGACGTCAGTTCTCCATCTATCGCAGAGTTTATAGAACTGCAAAGAGAGGCAATGGAAAGTGGAATTAGATCTCAACGGAGAATTGTTTCAGTGGGTGAGATCTCCCCCTCCCCGTTCCCCTGCCCGTTCCCGTTCCCGTTCCAGCGCACAGACCACAAAACGGAGAATGATTTTTATTGAGAGTCATAAATTATTGAATACCTGGCGTGGGACTGTAGATCGCTACCATGTTGTCCACAAATCCCACTGCCAGCTGCGCCTTGTACGCGTGGAAGGATAGACAGGTGGGATGCCCGATTTTGGGCCCAATGAATCCCTCGTTGGTGCGCAGCACCTTCTGCAGATCACCCTTCAGCGAGTAGATGCATATCTTTGTGGCATTGCCGCACGCCACAGTGCCCTCGATTTGGTGGCTGGAAATGGCTGTGATGTCGCTGCCAGCATCCCACTGATACAGCACCCGATCCCCGGTGCCAATGGGGAACCTGGCGCCGCCGTTTCGCACATCCACCACGCTGACCGTTCCGTTCTCGCAGCCGGCCACCAGGAGCGGCTCATTGGGTCGCATGTACGCGTGCAGGATGGGCGCATCGTGGCGTCGCGGCTTGTACACACAGACGGGGGCGTAGCGTGTGGCGCAGCGCATGTCGATCAGCTGCACGCTGCCGTCCTCGCAGCCCGCGAGTATCAGTTCACAGCTCTGGTTGGGCAAGTAGGGGCTGAGCACGCGGACGGTCGTCTCGTTGCGTCGCAGCTGAATGTCGCTCAGTCGCAGCTCCCGCTCCACGTCCCAGATGCGCAGGAAGCGGCAGCCACCGCCGCCCACCACCAGCCGCTGGCTGTACTGCTGCCACGCCGTGATAATGCTGGAGCTCCCCAAGCTGCTGCTCAGTCCGGCGCCTCCCGCTTGATCTGCGCTACCCTTGCCGCTGCTCCCGCCGCTGCCGGCCATGCTGCTGCGCTGTCTCGTGCTCGATCCTGTGGCAGTGCTGGCGACTGTGCCCGTCAGCTGGCTGAGGCCATTCACCGGCGCCAGCGCTGTCCAGGCGGTGATGAGGCGAGACTTGGGCTGCTGTTGCTGCTGGCCCGATCCAGCTGCTGCCTCCTCGCCCAGCGGCGGTGACTGCCACACCCTGACGACACCATCGTCGTGGGCCACCAGCGTGAGGGCCTGGTCCTGGGCATTCAGGAACTCAATGCTGCTGACACGCGCGAACGTGGGCACGGCCATCAGTCCGGACAGCCCCGTCGAGTGCTTGCGGGGCGTGCTGCCGTTCAGCGACGACGACGAGCCCGAGGTTGAGCCAGAGCCGCTGCCGCCGCAACTGGCGCCGGTACCCGTGCCCGTGCCAGTGCCGGTGCCTGTGCCGTGTCCTGCCAACGCCTCCGCCGCATAGGTGCGCACCGAGTTCCACACAAAATCGTAGACGAGCACCTTCTCGCGGTAGGCGACGGCTATCTGGGACTCGTACGGCAGCAGCTTGACAATCGCTGGCGTGAACTGCGTCTTCCGGCTCCAGCTGCAGACGTCGTACCCAAACTGATCCGAGCTCTGGCCATGCTGTGGCCGTCGTGCCAGTACCTGTGCCGGTCCCAGGCTGCCGCTTTGTTCGCTTTGTCCCTGCTGTGGGCGTCGCGCCTGTCGGCGGATCAGCTCGTTGCGCTGGTAGCGATAGCGACGCGTGCGCAGCTCCTGGGAATTGCGATCGACGGGATACCGCTGCTCCCCCTCCGCACTGCCCTCCGCCGAGCTGTAGCGATGCTTGCCCGGTCGCGTGAAGTACGAGATGGCCCACGGTATGAACTCGGTCTGGACAATCGGCTGCAGCGCCTGTCCGTGGCTGCCGTGACCCTTGCTCCCCGGCTCGTGGTAATGATTGCTCTCGCTGCCGCTGCTCCTTGCCGAGTGGCTGCCACCGGCTGCCTCTGCTCCCAGTGCCGGTCCCAGTCCCAGTCCACCGGCGGCGGCAGCTGCTGCTCCTCCTCCTCCTCCTCCTCCGCCGCCACGCACATAAGCCGGTCCGCTGTCAGTCTCATCGTTGATCGAGCTTGTCCGCAGCTTGCGCTGCAATATCATTTGTGGATCCCCCGCTGCGGCACCTGCAGCGGCTCCTCCACTGGCACTGCCCGATAGCCGCAGCTTCTGTGCCCAGTGGCTGGCGCCCGCAGTTGTGGTGCCGCCGCTGGCGCTGGCATTCCCGCCGCTGGTGTTGCAGCCCACAGGCGGCGACTGGCCGGCGCCCACGGCGCCACCCAGGTAGGTGACACGCGTATTGGGGCTGGGCGGCAGGCTGACGCTCAGGCTGTTGCACTTCTCCGAGGCCGTGGCCATGGTGGCCTCCTTGGCGGCCATAATCGGACACAAGGCGGTGTCGCGCACATGATGGACAATCTTCAGTGCGGTGGCCGCCACCTGGGGGAACGGATCCTGGGCCAGCTGGCAGATGCCCAGCCACAGCTTGGTGAAGATCGACTGGAAGGGTATGCTGTTGGTGCCACCGGCCACTCCGCCAGCTGCCACGCCTCCCACGGAGCCCGAGCGCTCGCCGCTGCTCTTGCCGCTGCGACTGCTGCCTCCGGCGGCGCCTGCTGCTGCTCCTGATTGGGCCGCGCCGGAGCCCGTGCCCATATTCGAGATGGAACTGGAGCTGACGCCGCGACGCATCGTCACATGCCGCTCCAGGCTGTGGGTGGACGAGGCGAGGCCATGGGCGCCCGCGGGCAGGGCATTGCCGCCCTGCAGCATCACAAAGGTGGAGGCGGCGTGGCTGCTGCGCATATGCTCGGCCAGATAGACGGCCACGAACTGCGACTCGAACAGCAGCACCATCCACTGCACGGCGGCGACCAGCTCGAGGCGCACCAGCGGCGACATGTCCTCGCCGACAGTCTCCAGCAGCGTGATGGCTATGATCCGGTCAATGTTGTTCGCCTGCTGCTCGCTGCGATCCGTCACGGAGCTGATGAAGGTGCCCAAGGCAAAGACAGCAGCGGCACGCACCTCGGGTATCGAGTCACGCAGCAGGACGTAGAGCTTCTCGTGGGCCAAGTCGCGGGCCCCTGACCAGCGGGCCTTCTCGAAGTTCTGCCAGAGCATGCCCAGGCAGATGGCCAGCCACTGGCGCAGCAGCCAGCTGTGATCGTTGAGCTGCTCGAGGCATATGGAGAGCAGCGGTCCCTGCAGCGCGTTCGTCTGTCCGAGCAGGAAGTTGTGCACGATGGAGGCGAGCACGAAGGCGGAGAGGCTGCGGTGCTCCTTGGAGACGCTGCCATCCTGCAGCACGGACAGAAAGTACTTGTACTCCTTGACCAGATCCACCTGGCAGCTGGGATCCACGGCCAATATCTTGGCCCAAATGAACACCAGCACCGGCCGCAGCTCGCGCGTCGAGCTCTGCAGCAGCTTCAGCACGTACGGAAAAATGCCGACGCCCAGGGCCAGATTGACGGCCCAGGGTCCGAGATCGAGGAAGCGTGCGAGGAGCTCCAGGGCGCGCAAACGATGCACCTGGGAGAGCAGCACTTGCAGCACAATCGGCAGCTGTTCGGGCGGTGTGCGCGACTCCGACTCCGAGTCGAGCCACACCTGAAAGGCGGTCAGCTGGTGCTCGAAGAACGGCAGCTGGCGATACGGTGCGCTGTGGTCGAGTATCTCCGGCAGCTGCTGCAGCGCCAGATCCACCACCAGGTCCCACGCCTTCCACATCGGATGGCGGTAGCAGGGCGGCAGCGCTGGCAGCGAGACGGGCGTGCAGTCGTGGCTCCTCAGTATGCGCTCCGCAAGCAGAAAGTTCCGAAAGAGGCTGGCCACCAGCAGATCCTGGCGAAACAGGCGCTGGAACAGCTCCCTTGGCAGCGTATTCCAGGCTATCGTGTCCGTGATGGCCGTGAAGATCCAATTCAGTTCACCCATCATGGTGCGTCGATCGTTGACTTTGCCTGGCAAAAGCAATAAGAGGAGAAGAGTGTCAGTCGGGGGAGAGAGTCACAGGGTCACAGGGTCACACAGAGCGCACAGGAGATCTTACCTGGTATCTTGTCAATCAATTCGCTTTGGATGCGCGGCACCATGCCCAACTTCTCCTGCATCGCGTACCACTTGAGGGCAATGTTGATGGGCGTGGTCAGGCAGCTGGTGAAGAGATCTGCCGGCAGCTGGGCATTCATGGGGAGTATCTCGTTGGCCGCACACGCTGCCAAATGGATGCAGTTCTTGTAGCTGACCAGCTGCGTCGGCAGCTGCACATTGGCGGCAGCAGCAGCGGCGGCGGCGGCGGCGGCAGCGGCCGACCCAGAGCCCGGCTGTAGATGGGCCAAGCCACGCTGCTGGGCTATGGCCAGCGCCTTCTCGAGCTCGTGCTCGTGCTGCTCGGCGTACGGCTGGAACGAGTTGATGATGATGCCCGCATTAGAGCAGTCGTAGACGTAGATCGAGGGCGCCGACATCCAGGTGATGAGCTCGAAGATGCTCAGCGGTATGTACTGGGTGAAGGTCTTGTTGAACACCCAAATCTCGCCATTGGCCGTCGGCTTGGGCACCCCGTGGCCGTTGTAGTGGAAGAGGATGCGCTCCCCCTTGGCATTGCGGCGCAGCGAGGTGCAGAGCTTCTTCACGTCGTCGACGGTGGGGTCATGGCACTTCTTGTAGCGGGCGCGTGGCTGCCAGCGTTCGTACTGCATCTGGAGATTGCTGCCGATAAGCTCCATGGCCTTGGGCGGCGACACGGAGCTGGGATCGATCCAGCACTCGAGGCGGGAGCAGGGCTGTATCTTCACCACGTCCGGCGGATCAACGCCAATGTTCAGGCAGAGCACCAGCGCGACGCTGGCCGTCTTCATGCGCTCCCGTATGCGCCAGGCCTGCCGCTCGTACTTCAGGCCCTCGATGAGCTCCAGATGCCGCTTGGCGGTGAACGAGAACGAGATGCGCGAGTCGTCGTGCTCGCTGTGCCCGAAATGGAAGCCATTGGGCACCACATCAAAGTGAAAGAGTTGCACGAGCAGCGAGGGGCCGCCGGCGAACTGGCTGCGCCAGTCACCATCGCGATCGCCACGAACACGTTCCCATTCGCGCTCCCACTCCCGCTCCCATTCCCTCTCCCATTCGCGCTCATGCGGCTGCCTGTTCGAGGAGGCGATTGTCTTGTGACTGGCATTCGATGGGCCATCCTGGCCGATCATTAAGCTGCCAATGTCGATGGCGCTACCGTTGCTGCTGCTGCTGCTGTTGTTGCTGTTGTTGCTGTTGTTGCTGTTCGTGCGGTTGTTGGGGAACAGCAGAGGTTCACCGCCACCGTTACCGCCGCCCACGGTAGTGGTGCTGGTGGCGGCGGCGGCGGTGACGTCTGTGTTGGAGGAGACTGCACTGGGCATGGCGCTGTAGCGCGACTCGAGCATGCTTCAATTTCGGATCCACACACACACACACACACACGCACACACACACGCACACGAGTCACACACAGTGTGGTGTGTGGGGTGTTGTTGTGGCGACTGACGGGCTGTGCTGGGTAGGCCTTGGTCTAGGCACGGGACATCCCCGTGACGCGAGGGCGATTACGTCTCCGATTGCAGTTTCTGCGACAGAATTCGTTTTTCTCAGCGACTACGGCAATGACTGCTGCACATAACCAAACACTTTTCGCACTCTCGTACACACAAACATACGCACACACACAGTTACATATAATTGTACACACACACACAGGCACGCAGTCGACTGCCTTCCCGACGGCGACGGACCAAGATTCGTATCGTCGTCGCCTCACGTTTTTACGTTTTACAATTTACCCGAAACCCGATGTGAGGTTCTAACAAAATCTTTTAGTTTCAATACGGCGCGGTGCCCTACAAATGTTTCTTTTAATTATGCGTTCACGTTCGTGTTCTTTTTTTTTTGTATTTTATCGCTACAGCTCAGTATGACCGCGGATTTATCGATAAAATATACCGCCAGACCCTCCAAAATGTACCGAGATATACCTTTTCATATTCAAAATATACCGTTAATATACCGTAAGCCTTAAATCATTTGTCTCGATTTGATATTCTATTTAATATTACCAGCTATTTATTATGCTCATCGCTAAAACTAAAATTTAATGCGATGTATCAGTCAATTAACCACTGATTGGCTAACTTTTATTGTTATGTTTCCAAATGAAGTCAAGCTAGCAGCAGAATTATAACGACAAAACGAAATACGCATTTACGGAGTTTAGAAGTAGACCAACACAAACATAGAAAGACACGCACACAGTCGCACTGCCTGTCACACTTTCTTTTCCTTTTTGCGTTCCGTTTCGTCGCTTTTCTTGCCATGCAGCGCTGCCAGACTGACTCAACAACTCGCCGAGCGCGCGCACCAATTATATTTAAATTTAATTTTCAAAATTATGCCACTGCACTCACCCTAAGCACAGGATCTCGATACACAGGTGGGGGATAGCGCACCGCATGTATGCGGTGACGACCAAACAGACCGGTCGCAAAACTCTGAGCGCTCTTGAGCGTCCTCTGGGTGGCCGTGTACTTCAGGTAGTACCAGGCGGGGTCGTAGATGTCCGGCAATAGCGAGGGGAAGCGCAGCTGCATCCGTTCGGCCAGCTCGATCAGCTCATCCTCACCCTCGGCCACAAGCAGCTTCTCATCCTCGGCCGCGTTCAGGTGCGCCCAGCTCCAGTCACGCAGCTGCTGCATTTCGTCAGGGCAGAGATTAGCATGAGGCTGGCTGAGCAGCCGCTGCTGCAACTCCACGAGACGCTGCTGGGCGCGCAATATGACCTTCTTGCTGGGATTGCGGCTGCCATGACGAATGACCGACCAGATTCGAGTGGGGTGGCAGCCTTGTTTGGGGAGAACAGATGAAACATGTCAAATCAGCTGTTGGAGCGGCGGCTCAATAACACAATACACACCCGCGTACTGCGGTGGCGTCTCGTCTAAGTTGGCTATGGCCCTATAGGGCGTCTTGGTGGATAAATGCCGCTCTATGACGGCCCGCGGGAGGCTGGTGCAGGCAGCCGCAGCCTGGGTATCGGGATCGGCTAACACTGACAGTACTAGTACAGTGGCCAGCAGAAGTGGCAGCAACATAATTGGGAATGGTTTTAGCATTTTTCCGGATAGCGGAAAAACTTGTCAGAAGTAAAAGCAAAAAGGTTGGTGCAACAAAAACGAAACAAATCAAAACATTAAAATTGAGAATTGCACACGCACGCGAAGAAACTAAACACACGAATCGAGAGACACAGAGCAGAGTAGCAGATGAACATGGGATTAAAAGGGAGGCTGCGTAAAGTAAACACGCAAAAGGGAATCGGCAAGTGCGTGATGGTGGCAGCACTGCACAGAATAAACAAGGCTGCCAGATCGCCAGAAGTGTGCCAACGCAAAAAGGCATGGGTGCTCGCATTTGCCAACACTGTTCAAAGGGGAAAGAAGACACTGAAAATCATGTATTTAGATTCGAATCGCCACCGTTGATATATCTATAAATTGACACAAACGAGAGCGTCCTAGAAGCTTTGAGATAAAAATAGAAACAGAGTGAGGGTTTTCCCTCACCAGGGCTGCATTTGGTCTAAATACCGAAATATACTTAAATATCAGGGCCGATATACATAATGCGCGCGGCGTGCAAATCAAATTCAAATCATTTCTCCAATAGACAGCCACATACATAATTTTTGTTTTCAGAAGCAAATACCATTAATATTATCGCCAATTCAGGCACCGCTCCGTGCCTTCTGATTAAACGGAACAACTTCGCGCTTCGCTTTGTGTACGAACAAGAATATGCTCAGTCGCGCAGCCGAATTAGCACTCAACGCGCATTTTGCCGAGAATCCGAGAGGAAATTTCACACTGGCACCGGGAGCCACGTTTATACGCAGTTTATACCCCTCCCACTTCGGTTTCGGTTCGTCTTTTGTTTTGTTCATGTCCCGCCACAGTGTTGGGCTGGCTACGTTAGCGCGTTTCTTGCTGCCATATGGAGCCGGCGTCGGCCAATGTCAACCGCAGCAGCAGCAGTAAGAAGCAGGAGCCACGCCACACAAAGCCACACGCACGTGTCGACCGAACACTTTGCGCCAAAAAATCTGGAGCTGAAGGTAACCGTAATAAAGTCGTTGTCCTGGTTGATTTGTTGTACAGCTGCACGCAATGGTGCTTAGACGATGTTAATCTTCTTTATTGGCCCCAGCCAAAGAACACACGGAACCCAGGGAACAGGGAGCCGCGTGGCTCTCAAAAGTACGCCACCTGTTGGGCGCCAAGAGGGCAAAGCTTTAGGCGCGAATTTTGAATGGTGAATGTTGCATCGGCAGGCAGGACTTGAAAAGCCATTAAATTAAGTGGATTCAAGGATGATGGGTGAAGTAGGGTGCTCGAGGATCGCTTGGAGTTGGAGTTTCGTGTGTGTGTTTGGGTGCGCTGTTCGAGTGGGCAATCAATCAGCGAAATGAAATCAATGGCAACGTAATTTCAACGATTACCCCTGCGGCATCGAGTGGCCCCCGATGAGTGGCAGCAGCGGAAACAAGTGTCACAAGCAATAACAAAGGAAGAGGGGCTGGGGAAAGCCTAATCTCTCTCGTAACTTATCGGCCATCGCACGGAGAGCGGTAATTAATTTTTTGGTATTTGCGGCACCAAGAACATATTGACAATGACACGATGATCACGCACTGATACTGATAATGACCATGCCAATGGCCCAATGGGTTTAGACCCAGACCCGTACATAACCACAGACGCAACCAACAACCAACATCTGGGAGCAATGGCGGCTGGCAGGCTCGACCATAGCCAGCGTCATGCGGTTCGGCAGCAACAGCGCACCTGTCCATCCCCCCAGCCAGTCAGCAGCGTAACGGCGCTGCCACCTATCTCTGTGTGAGGTGTGTGTATGTGTGTGTCTGTGTGGGTGGGTGGGTTATTACGGTGTCGTCGCCTGCACTTTCTTTGACAGCAGCAGTGCCGCAACGCAATAGCAGCAGCAGCAGAAAAAATGGAAGGCTGGGCTGTTTGATACCCTTTTGATGAATGGATTGGTGAAGTCCATAAGGTCCATATACACTTACCAGCACTTACTTGAGTACCAATTATTTTGTCACTCAAAAAGTTTAAATAGTTATTAATTTAACTTTATTTGTAAATTTCAAAATGATTTCCCAACGGAGAAGAATCACCCGTTTCACACATTCCCTCTAAATAAAAGTTATTTTAAATTGTGGGAAAACTTTAATGTGCCAGCTCCTGCCTGACCCCGACCCCCAACCAAGCTATGGAGTAAGCCAAATAAACAGCAATTTAATATACACCTTTTTGGGTGTCAGTTCAGTTCAGTTTCATTCACCCGGTGTCGCTGCTGTGTAGCTGCTGTTGCTGTTGCTGTGCTGACAACGCGCTGCCGTTGACGCTGGCGCTAGCGCTGGTGCTTAAAAGCTAAGGACACGCGCTCAGAACGTTCAGTTCGCCTCGAGTTTTTGCCCCGCGCGGTTTGGCGCGAACAATAACCACCAGACACGCACCGCACGCAGCACACGGACACGCACACTGGCCACAGAGCCGCCGCATAGAGAGCGCTAAATATTAGTTCAAAAATAAAAGTAAAAACGGTACGGAACGGAACGGAACTAAACCGAACGGAACAGAAGGGAGCCGAAAACAGAGAAGAGAAGGCGAGTGAAAGCCATAAAGAACAGCAACAACTGCGAAACTGAACGGACGTCCCCCGGTAACGGTAACACGCAGCAGCAGCAGCAGCACAACGTAACAACAATATCAAACAACGGTAAACGTAACCGTAAAGCAACAACGATTAGAAAAGTAATGGAAAATACAAAACAGAAAAAAAACATCAGCGTATAGCACAACAAAAAAATAACATAAACAATTTAATGAGTTAGTTTAGAACAAAGGCTATCCATACAATTTGTTGTTCTACAATGTCGCATTTCATTTAGTTTTTTAGTTGGGTTTCGAGTTTCGTGCTGTTCTTTGCGCTCTTCTCCGCCGCACACTCTCCTCTCTCTCTCTCCCTTTTGCTTTCTGCCGTTTCGTTTTCATTGGCGCAGTAGCAGAAGCATCCACGATCGGTGGCAGCGGCAGCAATTCGCATTTCACGTGGCGCCCAAAATATTCATGACCATCACGAGATTCGATTCGAGATTCGAGAATCGGTTTGTGGGGGCTTCCTCCTCTGGGCCAGAAACCCACATGCTGCGCCAGCTACTCTGCTGCTGCGCTGCCTCCGGCTCAGGCCTCAGCCTTAGTCTCAGGCTGGGTTAACTAGTTTCGAGTTTTGCCAATTTCGCCGCGCATTAATCTGCGATTAAATTTATACAAAATCCAGCAAACTGTTTGGCTGTGAAGCCCCCCCCCCCCCCCCCCCCCCCCCCCCCCCTCCCCNCCCCCCCCCCCCCCCCCCCCCCCCCCTCTCTCTCTCTCTCTCTCTCTCTACCACTCTCATGTTCTGTGAAGTCGCCGGCTGCGTTTGCGCGGCAACACTCGAAACACGTTGGCCCTGATCGTCACACTCACAAAAGCAGCAACAACAGAAAAGCAGCATCAGGGGAGCAGAGGCAACCAACGCCAGCGCAACGCAATTGTATTGGCAAAGGAGGTGGCTGTGTAGTGGGTAGAAGAAGGAGCACAGAATAAGCAGTGCAGTTGAAAACCCGTGGAGAGCAAGCAATTTGTGGGCCAAAAATATCGCAAGGGGCATGCAGTGCAGTGTAGGAGGTGTCCAGAAAAAGCAGTTGAGCTGAGCTGAAGTGCCGTTGCTTGAGAGTGAAGCCAAGGCAGTGCAGTTGAGTAAGAGGGGAAACCAAGCAGTGCAGTTGAGTAAGATTGGTCCAAAGGAACTGCAGTTGAATAAGAGAGAAGCGCTGTCAGTGCAATTGAATAAGAAAGCAGCGCAAAGGCGGCGGACAAAATGAAGTTGAGTTACAAAAGAAAAAAACATTAAGGAATGGCAGAGGTGTTACAACTGATGCGTTAGAAATGACTAAGTGCAGGAATGTGCATGAAAATTATCTGCAGGCAGTTCAGACTGCAATCAGAGAAAGCAGTAAAGTGAGAATCGCATTTACAAGCAGTGTGTAATTCTTGCAGTCTTCTTCACCCCTTTGATGCTGTGCGCTTGGTAGTGTTATTGCGCAACACAGACATACCGACTTTCATACAGTGGAAACTCGACACGTGACTAACTGTCGATCGACGGTCCGTCCGATTGTATGAGTAGTTGATGATCTGGTTGGGGCCGGTCTGGTCTGGTCTGTGGTGGCTATCGGCTTACGTTTTCCGATGGTACAGTGGAGCCAGCCTAGCCGTAACGTAACTGAACCAAAAAGCACTGCCAAAAATCGAGTTATGGTAGTTCTGGGCAAGGTAAAATGTGCCTGTTATTTCAAGTAAGAACAACTGCTTGGGAATATCCAAGCAGTGCATTTATTTGGGATGATCTGCACTGTACCGCAGTAACAAATGGGCATGTGTCCATCACGGTTTTTATACCCATCATATCTCATCATTTTCCACATCTTTCTCTCTCTCTCTCTCTCTCTCTCTCTCTTAGTGCCGTCGACGCTGATGCCGCAGTCACAGTCAGCGTCGCTGCCGTTGTGAACCGTGTGTGGAGCAAGCAAGCGTCCAGCGTTCGACAGCTTTCGATCAACATCATCGGAGATTACCACGGGCACAAAGCCATAAATAACCGTCCCGTCCCGTCCGGTCCCGTCGGTGTATCAGCCCCCAGCAGGTAAGGAGCTGGGAGCGACGCCAGCGCCGGGCAATAGTTGGCAGTGTCGCCGCCGAGCGATATGTTGGCCACGCCGAGCGGCGGCGCAGCGCCCGCTAATGTTCCCGCCACCGCAACCTCTTCAGCAACTGGTCCCGTATCCGTATCCGGCATATCGATGCCCCCAGCAGTCGCTGCATCGTTGGCCAGCCCGGAGAAGCCCCTGAACAATGGCTACCTGCAGGCGAATGCTATGGACGAGCTAAATGCCACCGTGGTGTCCCCTCTGCTCGGCCAGGCACAGCCGCAACACCAGCAGCAGCAGAACAAGCTGCCAACGGTAGTTTTCCTTAGTCCGGATGGAAGCGGTGGCGTGGGCATTGGCAGCGCCCTGCAGAGGAATCCCATCTCAGGTGCCAGCATACCCCCGGCCACCGTCTCGAGCCGCACCAGCGACTGGCTGCTGAAGGAGTCACAGCAGCGGCGCCGCCTCCTGATCCTGGCCATCGCCTTTACCGTTCTGGGAG